TTCTAAGAGGAACAGGTTGTTGTAGTGCTATTAATGCTATGCTATGAAGAATATAAAACAATACTATTGCAAAAAGCAACACTGATATTGCAAAATGACGCAAGAGAGGAATGCTGGTAGAAATATTTACTGTCAATCTCTGCTGGCAATTTGTAATGTCACAGCTGCACACTGGAGCTCTGAAATCTTTAACTTCATGCATCGAAACATAAACTGAAAAGAACAAGAAGACGTTAGGTCTGATAATGTAGTGATGGATGCATGGAGATCTCTTTAGTTTTTGGCCAAATCACAGTGAAATCGAGGATTAAATCTCTCACCAATAGATTGATCAGTTCTCTAATGTGTGTCCGATCAGCTACAGGAAACTGACATCAAATACAAAAACCTGTTAATGAATTTTCTGCAGGATGTAGGTTAACGTGACAGAAAAGCACATCGAGTTTGCACTATTCTTGCAACTGCACGGCTTCATTGAGTTCCAATACCGACATACAGCTCAACAGGTTGCAGATTTAACACATGGATGATCTGTGTCGCTCATAGAGAACATCAGAGAAAGAATCTGTGCTTATATGTATGTACATTTAAAACCGTTCAGGCTTTAGGCTCAACATATCTCGCTAACCCATTAATCTCACTAAATAGCACACCCTCCTGACTTATAAACAAATATCCAAATGGTGCGATTAGCATCTCGTATAATGCCGATTTTGAATTGTGCTGTTTATTTCAGATTGATTTTCCCTTCATTTCTTTTTTTTCCCCCCCACAAATACAGCAATGTCCTCGTTGTCTCTCGCTTACTGGAGCATAAAATATATTTAATTTCTCTCCAGCAATCATTAAATTATGCTAATTGCACAGAAGGATGTTTTTAATTACACACCACAGGGTTTTAATTGAAATTCAATAAATTAATCCATATATCGAATCATGCCCAGCATTCAATTTCCAGGAGGACTTCACCGTTGGTTGCTGAGGGGTGGCCTTATTGTATCACTGTGTTATTTATGGGTTTTAATTTGGTTTTTTTTTTAAAAAAAAACAAGAGCACATAATTTCAAAGGTAAATGCAGAATGATTTTTGCCCTAATATTTCTTTCCCAAAAAAAGCAGTCCTCAGCAGAAAGGTAGGTATGAGTGGTGAAAAAGAAAAAAAAAAAAAAAAAAAAAAAAACCACATAAATTATAAACTGTATTTTCTGTGAATATAAGTGGGGATTGTGTGTGTTTTGGAAGTGTAAGAATGTTTGAGGAACAAGAAGCATGTGCCAAAACACCAAGGCAGAGATTAAATGTTTACTCGAAGGCAGCCTTGTCAAAATATCTCGAGGTGACATTGAAGGATGTCTTTGTTAAATATTTGTCTTTCCGTAAGTGAACTCTTTCACCCCCTGAGTACGCACAGATTGTGTGTAGACGCGACTGTAAAAAAAAATGGAGGATGGTGGAAGATTTGCTTAAATTTCCCTCAGGGTCGGTTTGTTGTGTTGACTGTAGACTAGATAATGAGAGGACAGGATGGATTAACCTCTTACAAGTGTCTCGTAATCAGAATGGTTTGTTTTTTTTCCCCCCATCTGTGGATGCTTTGCAGTAAAATAAAAAAAATCTGAATTCACTCACAGTCAAAGTAGTGTCGCTCCCCAAGAAAAAAAACAATGCACCACTTAGGAGAGAACAAGGAACATGCCGACATAAATCTAACTGGCTCTGGGTTTGAAGAGAGGGTTATTGTCTTTTTCTTGCAATTTACGACTCTAATGATGCACTTATGTTGCCCGCTCTTCCCTTTTTTTTACACCTTACCTACTTAAGGAGGAAATCTTGATTGGTAAGTCGATGCTATCCGCAGATTTAGGGATTTACTTGTAGGTCGGTGCAGGCTGATTATTTACCTCTTACAGGAGAAAGAGCACAGTCATCTGTCCTATTCTGAGGGCTTTCTTAGCTAGACTGATGGGATCTCTCTTTGTCTGCAATCCTTTTCATTTCCACATAATACCCATTTTTGTGATGTTTGTTCAATGTTCTTTAAATGAGGCTTTTCAATGGGGGCTATTGTTTATTGTTTACTCTTTTTTCTCTTCACTCCAAGTTAGAGCCGGTAGATCTTTCCACGCATAGTTTTTCTTTCTTCTCTGCTCTTTTGTTGTTCCTTTCATATAATTGTTTTAGTTTAGACTTCCTTTAAGATTCGTTTTCTTGTTGATTTCTTTGAGTTCAGACTTTCTTTTTCGAGGTTAATCGCATGCTTCAAAATTTGCATGATGTCTTTATCTTTCAAAGCTTTCTGTCCCAAGAAAAAAAAAAAAAAAAAAGAAATCTCTTCACTGTGTTTTCGAGGGAATATGTGGCTTTGTTACTAGAGTTATTCACAAAGTGCATCAAAGCAGGTAGCAGGTTCCATCTATCAGTACACGCCTGGTATTGAGCTGTAGCCTGTTTGTCTGTTTGCAGATTTTGTCGTCAAAACCTGGAGGCGACCTTTTACACGGAAACGGGTCTCAGCATTTGTCGAGCCACGCCGAAGGGCCGCACGATTACGATTCTGGGAATGACACGTCTTCGCCGCCGTCGAGCAAAACCGGTGTTTCTCGGGCGAGTGTCACTGACAACAAGAGGAACCGCTGTCAGCGTCTGGCCTCGCCGGAGAAGCTCAAGTTCGCTGACAGAGACAATGCGTCTGATTCAGGAAACTCTGTCACCAGCTACGCTTCCTTGTGCAAACCGTACGTGGAGGACGGCTTGTCTGCAACCATTTTCAGTGCAAAAAGGTGATGCTGTGTTCATAATAATAACAATCCATCTGAATGAATGCTTCCCAGGAAAATTGCAAGCTTGTCTATCTTCTGCTTCCACACTCTGCTTCCTCTTTTGAAATATTCATCGTATGAGTGGAGAATAAAGGATTTCTTTAAAAGCAAACCCTGGATTCACGGTTTTGGCTTTATCACCCAAAGCAGTGAGACATCTTAATGTGTTTTTCTTTGCAGGGAGCAGATAACCTTGGGGTGTCGGATAGAGGTCGTGAGATCCCCAAAGACATCCAGCTGTTCGCAGAGGAGGAACGAGTCGTCTCGAAGGCGACTGAAAGGCCGGTCGTCGAGCAGCAGGAGCAGGAGCAGATCCTCAGGGAGTTCCAGATACTCGGGACGCTACTCTCGAAGCCCCTCTCTGTCGTCTTGCAGGTGTTTTAGCTGCTTGTGCATCACCGACGTCCACTAATATCACACCCAGTGCATGCTTTGCAGAAATTTCACCATTAGTTTACGGAACTGTAATTATCTAATTTTCTAATTGCAGCTCGTACTCGCGCTCGCTGAGTAATTCGGCTGATCTGAGGCGAAGAGGCAGCGTAGCCAGCCTGAGCTCCAGAGGAAGCTACTCCAGATACAGCGCTGACAGGTGAACTTTGATCAGTGCTCCAGCTGCTTATGGCTCCTCATTAGTGGTAGAACAAACTTACAGTACACTGACATTATCTGTGATTAAATGCTCACAATGTTTTTCCAGACTGCGGGGCCGAAAGAGAACAGGCAGCTCCAGAGAGACGGACGTGAAGCACGCACATAAGGTTAGCGGGAAGAGACGAAGACGCAAATCCTACTCTCCTATGAAGAAGAGGAGGAGAGACTCGCCAAGCCATCTGGAAGCACGCCGAATCACAAGGTACAGCTCTCCCAGCCCGGTTATTTATAGCCACAGTGTACGTTTTTTATGCCTAAAGGCAGCAAAAATGTAGCGCCGGTCCCACCCTCCGCCCCCTCAGTTGGACAAGTCCCCAACCTGAAATCTTTCACTCGTGTTGATGAGCTGTGTACCTTGAAATGTCATTTAGCCTGAGGATGAGATAACTGTCAGCTCTAAAGCCACCACAGGGGCTGAAGAAACAGATGGTGAACGAAGACAACACGAAATGTAAAAGAAGAGGAACGTCTGATTCTACCTGTATTGATAGATCCCCGGCTTCTCACACACAGCTACCATGATGCTGTCTTTATTTCACAGCGCTCTGTGATGGAGACAAAAGATATGCAGCCACGAAAATACACAGAACAACACACGGCATCCACAGAAAGATTACAGCCTGTCTTTAGTTATTGCTCCATTAATCAGTGTTGTGTCGCAAAGCTGCAATATTCAATATCACTCCGGTAAAAGGGATTTTAAATCAATTGTATGGTTAAATATACAAGCAGTCGCAATAGATTTATTATAGTATTCTAGAAATATGAACTTTTTTTGTTCATATTTCTAGAATACATACAGAAACTTGAATTATTAGTGTTGGTGACGTACAAAGCTATATGTTAATCTAATGTTCTTGGCGTGGTCTCCTAGCTTTGGCTACAGCTGATGACTCTTCCCAGCCAGTTTAAATGAAGCCCATCTGATGCACTCATTAGACTTAACCACAAACGTTACAGTAGAGAACATCTGAGGAGCTCAGCGCAGATGTGAACATGCAAATCACTGACTTGAACAAGTCAGGAAAGCCACTTGTCAAAGATGCTTCAGATCCCTAAATCGTCTATGTAAACAATTGTTTGTACTTTTCGGACTATTGAGCGCACCTGAATATATGCCGCTAACCCGAAAGATTTTTTAAAAACGTTTAATGAAATATGTACAGATAACATACACAAATACGTAAACACCTTTTTTCCACATACTGCCTGTAACATGGCTGGTTAAAAAATAAATAAATACAGCAGCCTACCAGGAAAAGTCATTGATCGCTATCTTCATCTTCCAACAACCTTAAACATACACCAAAAGTATTATATGAATATAGGAACATAGGAATGTAAATCAGGCTACAGCTAAGGTTTTATACTGGCCTTCCCAAAGTGCTGAATAAGAACCCATTAAGAACCTGTGGACTGTGATGAAGAAGTCAACAACGAATTTAGTTGAACTGACTGTAAATAGTTCTGGTTGTCCAGCAGCAGAACTTTTTTTCTTTTAGTATTTTTTTTTAAGTCAAACTATGTGTTATTCATATAAATCAGAGGTCTCGAACTCCGGGGGCCGCAATCCTGCAATTTTTAGATGTTCCCCTTCTTCCAACACACCTGATTCAGATGATCAGCTCAGCATCAAGCTCTGCAGAAGCCTGATAACGATCCTGATCATTTGAATCAGGTGTGTTGGAAGAAGGAAACATCTAAAACATGCAGGATTGCGGCCCTCGAGGACCAGAGTTCGAGACCCCTGATATAAATGTGTAACAAAAAAATCATTCATTAAAAAGCCGCTCATGTTTTTGGCCCGCAGTGCCAGGAAGCGGCCCATCCCTTACTTCCGCCCCAGCCCGTCCTCCAGCAGCCGCTCCACCAGCGTGTCGTCCTGGAGCAGCCTCTTCACCCGCAGCCGCAGCCGCAGCCCCGTCCACAGCCTGAGCCGCAGCAGGAGCCGCAGCCGGAGCCACAGCTACTCCACCTACCGGAGCTACAGCCGCAGCTCGTCCTGGAACTCCATCTTTGGGACCCGCAGCCGCAGCCGGAGTCGCGGCTCGCTGAGCAAACGCAACAAAACGAGGCATTAGGCGTCTCAGAGAACATCAAAGGGGGGCTGAAGCCGCAGCCGTGTTCCCGGTTGAGAGCGAGGACGGTGGATGTCGGAGCAATGGACCGTCTCCGTGGTCCGCTTTGACGCTTGGGCGGAGATGTCCCAGCGGTGGTCCGAGCACGTCTTTTGTTGAGGCGGTCTTGTTCACTCTGCCCACAGAGACCACTGGAGACTGAATGTCTTTATGTTTGTTTGTTTGTTTGGTTCTTACACTGCATCCTCTTGCATCAGCACTTACAATGGCCTGAGACTGTTCATCTCCAGATATCTACAATAGAAACCGAACATAGGAGAGAAACACTGTTCCTGCATTTAGTCGACTTACATCCGTGTTTCATCCCATAAGTCTCTGCACTTCAATTATTCTTGTAAATGCTTTGAAATGGTTTATTTCATAATTGATGCTCCATAATGTGGCCTGCTGAAGGGGTCCAAGAAGCATCGGAAGAGCCTGATTCCCATTTTTACTTTGATTTGCAGTACAGTATATTTGGCCATATGCAAGTGCAGATGCACCAGGTGAGCCGATGTCTAACAGGACAGCAGACATTTACTGTCCCGTGTGTTGAGGTAACATTTGAGCCGTTTGATCCGAGTGTTTACCGACGGCTTCACAGGGATCGTTATCAGGAATAAGAAAATGGTTTATTGCTCCGTTCAAGGCGGAGAACAGACGTGTTTTCTGAGCCGGGGTGGCCCGATGGCGAGCAAACTGCCTGTCAGCTCAAATGTCAAATTAATTTATTCTCTGATCAAGTGGAAAACGATTGAAATGTCAGTCCATGTACTACAGCACAGAGCGATTGAACCGTCGGGGGGGTTGTTGGACAAAAGTTTCACACAGTCGGAGGAGCTTTTCTCCTTCACGGCGAATGAAACATTTGTTGGATTCTTTTTTTTGGGAGACGGTAAAGATAACGAACTTTTTTATCTGCTTCACTTCTTAACCCTCTGAATCTCTAAACTTGCCAGCAGGTTTAAATGTCATGCTTTATTTTTAAAAAATTGCCAAAATTACATTGTGTATCAGCGCCAGAAACTATAAACACAGAAAGAGTTGTTGTGTTTTCAGCTCTCTGGCACCTTGAACTACTCATCTGAACCAAGTCTGACTTTTAAAATTATTATATCTCCTCAAAGTCACTTTATTCTCATTTAAATATTTTCAAAAAAATAGACGATAAACTCCAAACAGATTTTGTTAGAAACTACAGTTTGTGCTTCTCAGTGCCGCTGTGAAGCTATTAGTTGCAGCCAAATGTGTCACATGACAACATTTCAGGGACGTTTCAACTGAACTGGGATGAACTGTGCTTTTTTTTTTTTTTTTTTTTAAAGAATGAAAACAAATTTAAAAATCGTAATAGTAAAATGCCTATTATATGTAATTTATTTATTTTTATTTTACCAAAATTGGCAAAAAAAAAAAAGGAAAAAAAAGTGAAAAATCTTGTAAATGGTCATACATTCCATTTATTTTTTCAATTTCTGTAAAATACGTAGTCAAAGGAATTCAGCTTTAATTTCTTTTTTTTTTAATGATTTATGGCATTTTGTTGTTGTTATACGACACAAAGGGATTTTTGAATTATTGTTACTAATAGTCGTAGTTCTTTCTGCAGGACTTTATCTTGCAGTGAAGAAAAAATGTGACCAGAGCAAAAACAAAGGCCAGAAACTATCCGAGGTTCAGAGGGTTAAATTAAAAAAAAAAAAAAAAAGAGCTGTCTTTACTTCATGTATGATTCAGGCTGTGTTTGTTTTTGTTTATTTGGTCGTTTTAAATGAAGCACAGAAGCTGGACCTCATTTGGCTGCTGAAAATAAGTCTGAACTAATGAAGAGCATTGATTTACTTGAATGATGATATTGTTTCACTACAACACTGGAGCCAAATCCATCATGCACCTGTGATTGAAGGTCAAATTTTTGAATTGTGCAGCACCATACATATTTATTACTTATTTAATATTTATTGGTTTGTTGTCCCTCTCAGTAGTGGTCAGTCTTTCTATGCAACACTGTCAGTTTAGTTTATATGACACTGCTGTAAAGTGTTTTTTGGTCTGTTGTAAATTATTCTGACTCGTACATGAACCTCAAAGCAGATGTTTGAAAAGAAAGACGAACAAGAAGTGGAAGTGCAGAAAAGATGTTTCCCTGTCGGATGTTTCGGTTCTTTTTGGTTGATTTATTTTATTTTTTTCTATCTTATCAAGAGTTAGTAGAAAAGATCGACACCAATCTCTTGTCTGTTTCTGAAATATGAAACTACAGCTAGGAGATGGTTAGCTTAGCTTAGCTTAGCTTAGCTTAGCTTAGCATAAAGACTAGAAACAGGGAAGCAGCTAGCCTGGCTGTGTCTAAAGGAAACAAAATCCACCTCCCAGCATCTTGCTAACAAACAAGTTACATCTTATTTGTACAAAAACTAAAGTGTTAGAGCAAGTTTTGGTTTTAGGTAAAGTTATGTCATCTTGCCATTTGAGAAACATGTTAATTCTCTGGTTCTGGTAGGTGGACTTTTTGTGGCCTTTGGATAGAGTTGGGTAGCTCCTTCTTTCTAAGATAAGTCCAAAAAAAAAATAAGTACATGTCCCCAAAAGTCACGCTGTTCCTCCCCGAGTTATTTTGCTCCGACTCCTGAGTTTGAATCTGCACAAAGTCTGAATCTGCCTTTGCTCTGAAGTAAGAGTTACATCTCTCCATCATTTCAAATCCATCATCCTGCCTGTGTTACCGCTCCGGGCCTGACAGACTGCTCTCTATGCACTCAATACTCTCAGCTTATTTCCCTGAATGTCTACTAAATTGGACGAATGAGGGAAATCTGACGCCGAGGAGAAAAAAAAACAGGAAAGAACTTGGCACAGAAGTCACCCATAAACTCCAAACCGATGCCGACTTGTGTCGACCAGCGTCGACGAGGTGCCGGCGGGAGGTCTGTGCGGTCGTGTCGATCGACTTTCTGGACGGGCTCGCAGGGCCAGCGGGCCCTCTCCCCGTCTCACAATGTAAAGTTTACATCGGTTCTTGTGCAAAATGATTTTGAACATGTAAGTACTGTGGTGTAAATATGCATCTGCGTTGTACAAATGACTCAAAAGTTGTGATTATCTGATTACAGAATGTGACTGGGGCCGTGTTGGATGTTTAAAATGTGACGATGCTTTGGCCAGTGAAAGAGGAAAAAGGAGACAAATGTGCCGGTTAGGCTTCAATCAACAGACTCTAGATGTCTTTGTGCTTAAGGTCCCTCTGATCATGTCTTTTGTTATTTTAAAAATCCCAATAACAAGCTCATATAGCAATAGTGATCCAGTGTTTCTGTGTTAAATTATGCATTTCCATATGAAACGAGCATACTGAGAACTCTTTTTTTTTTTTTTCACACTGTCACATTTTATCTGGTGTCAGTGTGCGCTCCACATTGTAATGACGTGTCATCTAGAAACTGAATCGGTCCCATCATAGCCCCATGAAGTCAACTCTCCCTTTCACTGTGTGTTCAAAATAAGCTATATAAAATCATGTTCTGATGGAAGTGCCGCTGCAGTCTTGTTTTAATGCTCCAAAAAAACCAGATGAACACCCGCTGACCTGTTGCAGTAAACACACTGAACGCAGCATGTGATATTTGATCAAACTCCATCCATTCCTTGTAGCATAGGGGGGAAAAGTATTTGTTGTTCCAGCGCTCGGCGTCTCGACACTATGGAAATGATGATTGGCGGGTAAAGATGGAGTCATAGACCAGAAACTACATCAGTAAAAGTTTATCCACCATTTGCATCCAGAGTGTCCTGCAGATGTCGGACGGGCGGCATGTCTGGAGCGTCCATGGTAGGACTGGGATACTTTTTGCTGCGAGGAGGACCGTGCATATTCTGGAAACATGAGGACGCATCAAGTGGTGAAGGAACTGGATGACCATGGATGTGAGGATTTGATCTCCATATTGAGATAGCCAGCGTTAATGTGCAGACATATTGTTTGTTTACGGCACACGCCTGCCCGTCTTCTCCGCACAACATCAACATCTGCATCGCAAGAAAACCAGATTTACCAGCAAAAAGATCCATCCTGCTACTGTCCACTGATGGTAAGAAGTTGCCAGCTGGAGCCGGGTTTAGCACCGTTCTGCCGTTACATCAAGGCCTTGATGTGGGCAGCAAGATTGCAAACCAGTTTCGTCACAGTTTGAGCAGATACGTGCACAGCAGCAACTTCATCAGCGGTCTGCGCAGCCGATTGCAAATGATTGCAAACAATTTGGCAAAGAGCAGGATGTGAGAATCCTGGCCTCAGCTGTGTCTGACTACGGCCTTAACCTGACATCAGCATCCAGCGAGCCAGCTGTGGCATCGTTTTAGCTGAATGAAGCTGCATTTTAACCTTTAATAGTCACTGGTCAAAAGAGCGTCTATGAACCACTTCCGGATGGTTCTCCTTTAAAGCCGCACCTCACAAGGTTTGGGATCAACTTTACTTTTGGTTAAGAATTTCTCACCAGATGAACGGCTTGAAACTTTTTCCAGCACAATCGGCTGAATGCAACATTTTTCCAACTAGAAACAGCAGAAGTTAGGCTTTTTTTTTTCTTTTTTTTACTTATAAAAGATTCATGTCTTCATCCAGAGTGGATGCCGTCTGCACAAAGTTGACTTCTTAGTCGTTTTGTTTAATCCGTCCAGTGACATCAATGCTGTTTGAACCTGCAGCTCTGCGTTATCTTCTATTAAAAAGCCTGTGAGTCACCAGGAGGAGGGAGCTCCAGCTGATGGACATGTGGACGCTGTGCAACTTAGTTTGGTAAAAGGAGGGGCTGGTCTTCGGTCAGCTGTTGCTGCTCCACTGCAAAAAATATCCACATCAACAAACCATTTAATCTTAATTTGAGGCTGTATGTACAATTTAAAACTACCAAACAGCTGGAAGGTTAGTTTAGTTCAGAACATGCCCCTGGTTTGTTAAAGTTTCTCGCTGTTAAAGAGTGTAATGTTAGTGTAAGGAAGTGTTTTTTTGCAGTGTGAGAACTCTCCAGTTCCTCCCAGCACTTTCCCGACACTTGCTCTGTGCAGACTCATCGTCTGAGGAACAAGCTCAGTATAAAACCCGCAGCCAGAAGAAATGAGATCAGTTCACTTTGAGGTTTAAGAAACTTGCGGTTCACGTCGGAGGTTATCTTTGGATCAACAGGTGACTTATTGCGTAACGGTGATGTGCGTAATCCAAAAGAGATAAAGTTTTACCACACAGAGAGATAAGTTCTGCTGTTTTTTTTTATTATTCAGAGAAAGGGGTTATCTTTGCGTAAGTAACAGAACTTTTCCTGGCTTTTGGACATGGCAGAGGGAGACTTTTACACGATGGGAAGCCGGCAGAGATTTCCCAGAGATCCGTTTGGAGAATTCCGGGATCAGTCACCGTTCAGGGATCAGCTCGCCTCTCGGTTTATGGAAGATGACTTTGGGATGCCACCTTTCCCCGACGACCTGGCGATGGACTGGCCGGGCTGGGCTCGGCCGGGCCGGCTAAGCACGCGCCTCAGCCCGTCGCCGTTCAGCAGCACTTTACGCACAGGTTTCCCCCAGCGTCAGTCCACCGGAGGCCCCGCGCTGTACACCAGCAGGTACGGAGAGCCCTCCTCCCGCAGCTCCCCCACCGGCACCGTCTCCACCACCGGCGGGGAGCCCTGGAAGGTCTGCGTGAACGTCCACAGCTTCAAACCAGAGGAGCTGAACGTAAAGACGAGAGACGGATTTGTAGAAGTGTCAGGTGAGTCTGGATGGACTTTTTTTTTTTTCCTGTTGTATAAATAATCATCAGGTCAATTAGGGGGAAGAAAACTTTTCACTTTGTGGTGTTTTGGGATGTCTTATGCTCAGTGACTGGAGGTCAAAGTGAACCCACCTGATGACTCCCACTGTGGCAGCCATCAGTTCACATTAATACCAGAGCTGGTCCAGTCACTTTTATTTATAGATTATATTTAAAGACAACACCTGCTGTCCAAAGTGCCTTTAAATGGGGTGAATGAAAAGTAATTATGAGGCATAATACACAGAAGACACAATAAGTAGAACATAAACATCATAGCCAGTACAAATAGGATCATATTCTCCCTCATTGTTGTTTATGTGACATTTGGGGCAACATTTCCCCACCAGGAATTTTATTTTCTGTGTGTTGAAATACAGCTCAAGAAGTTCCAGTTGAAAAGAAAGTATGGTAAACAAGTGTAGTGTATATATAACATAAAATAAAGAAGCTTTTTCAGTCTAATCATACTTTTGAGTGGAGGCTGGGATGATGTCCAAGGAATCTGGACTGCTTCCCATTCAGTACGTTGTTATGTCTTCTAATTATTCTACATTTAGACGCCATTAATTGGTTGGAAAAAGTAGTTTCTGTTAAGTTCATGAATAACTGAAGGAAAAACTCAAGATTTAACTCGGCTTCGTCGTCATTTGGAGCAAGAAAACATGAAGAAATAAACTTCTCCTGCTCCTTCAAAATGAAACTCGCCTGACAACGAAAATTGAATCACAGACTGAAAGAACAACACAAGAAACAAAATTTAACTCCAATGAATATATATTTCATAAACATTTAACACTAACTTTTAGGATTTTGAAATTCAGAGCATTTTAAATCACAGAACCTTCACTAGAAGCCTTTTTTTTAAACGACACTCGAGTGTCATTCAAAAAGTTGTGGACAAAAAAAACATCCATCCATGTAAAATACTTTAAAATAGCTGAAAAAAGTAAAGTCAAAGGCCAGAATATGAAAGAGTTTGATGAAACAACTCTTAAACAACAACTCGCTACTGTAAATATCTCTCAGGATGCTCATTATGTCTAATCAGGCCAAGAAATATCAGCTCTTTCACTTTGGCAGCACAACTAAAGCAGCGCAATCAAAGAGCCTCTGTGGTGCAACATGGTCTCAGCATTAATGAGTCTTGATGTGGTGGAGCGGGACAGATTTTGGGAACTGGGACTTGCAAGTTGGCAGGCAGATCCTCAAGCTTAGACACCTGTTTCAGATTCTTGGAGAATCACTCCCTCAGCCACGCATGAGCTCGATTTAGATTTTAAGGCAAGGCCCGTGACAACAGTCTCTGTTTACAATAAGACAAGCCGCTCGCTGCCGCTAAGCACCGCGGAGACTGTTCTGGAAACAGGACCTGACTTTTCCCCGGCGGTCCTCGTGCAGGTTCTGTTTCTGCCGGTGTCACGTTCAAGCTCAGTCACCGATTACGGGCGTAAGTCGAAGATATTGCTTCCTGAAGTCGGCACCTGAGAAGACGGCTGAATTCCAGGGATACCCGGGGCTGAAGAGGGCACAGAGGACAGCAGGCCCCCCGGCTCTGGGTTTTTTATAAACACATTGTTGGTATGCCAGTTGGGTCATTCAATCAGCGCCATGTTGGGCCCGACTGCCTGCAGTGACTCAACCTGTTCTAAAAGTGTGGCCGGGAATGTAGTACAAGCGTGTTAGCGGCGTTCAGTGCGTGAATGAACAAATGTTTGACACGGATGCGAGTTAAAAGCTTACCGAAAGAGGGCAAAGATTAGCTGAAGGCCGTTATTAGTTAAACACAATGTGGACAGTTTGGTACGGGATGCTGTGTCTTAATGCATTTCTGAATCCTGTTACCTCAGTTTCGTAGCCGTCAGTGACCAAGTGAACACAAACAGCTGAAACACAATGAGTATGAGGCTAAAGAAGGCAGAGGGCTGCTGAGTTATTAGTCACAGGAATAGCAAAGGCTCCTACGAGGAAAAAGACAGCAGCTATCCTTTATTCAAATGCTTTAAATGACCCACTGTATGTAGATCCAATTGTTGGCCATCTGTTAAATGCAATGAGAAAAGAAAATGTCTGAGGGGGCCTGGGGTGGATGGTTGGGTCAACAAAGTACCGAGTTTTCCATCAAAAGTGAAGTGACTTTTATAACCAAGTCAGTTTAAATCCAACCAAACTGCACAGTGACCCTCACATTAGTCGATCACAAAGCAGTCGTACCAATCAGTGTAAAGGTCACGTTGTTTGTGTTGTGGGTTTTTGAGCGCATTGATAGATGATGTTGCCCTTTTGACAGATGAAAAACAGACGGATAGATTCGGAGGGCGGCAACCTCTTAAAAGCAGTTAAACCGGTGGACGCACTTCACACCAGAAATGGACCGAACTCAAGACGGGTTGATTAGTGGCCAGAGAACGATTAGTGGGTTGGTGAGTGTCAGTGTCACGAAGGGGGCTCTCTTTAAACCCACTAGATCAGGGGTTCTCAACTGGTGGGTCGCGGACCTGTTCTGGGTGGGTCGTGGACCTGTTCTGGGTGGGTCGTGGACAGCTGGTCAAATTTAAATAATATATAATGTGCGTCTCAGGTTGGACTCATTATTTATTTTGACAGGCATGGTAACCATAGTTTGTTTGACATTCGTTTTAAGTTTGTGTTGATGTTGGGACGCGAGTTGACAAAAACATGACCCGGGGTATTTAAAATGTGGGTTTTCATACTAGGACTGGACCCGAATAGCCACCTATTGGTTCACTGTGCTAGAATCTGGATATCAGTTTGGATCTAATAATAATAATAATTGATCAGATTTCTAAAGCACTTTTCTGGACACTCAAAGACGCTTTTCATTCACGCTATTCATTCACACACATTCATTCTGGTGGTGATAGCTACGATTGTAGCCACAGCTGCCCTGGGGCAGACTGACAGAGGCGTGGCTGCCATTCTGCCCCCCCAACCACCACCTCAACAATCCATTCATTCACACCAGGCAAGGTGGTGAACTGTCTTGCCCAAGGACACAACGACCATGAAACAGGTTACAGGGCGGAATCGAACCGCCGACCTTCCGATCATCGACCGACTCGCTCTACCACCTGAGCCACAGCTGCCCCTATCTCCGAACATCCCTCCCCGTTGGTCGTACCGGAAGCTCAGCGCCAGCACCCCTCCCCCCCTCTGAGTGATGGTTTTATTCACTTGTGTACATGCAGTGGTCATGGTCCAGTTACTGTGCACGGTTATAAGCTCTGAAATGCATGTTGCACAGCAAAATATATTGAATACTGAATTATAAGTAAAACTGGGTCGCGACTTCATGACCATGTGGGTCCCAGGGTGAGACCAGGTGAGAACCCCTGCACTAGATCACCGTGGTAACTGATGCTGCACGGCTCACCTGATCTGGAGGAGGTTGTGTTCAGAGGTGCAGGTTTTAATCGGCTGCAGAAGCGCTACCCTTTCACCAGTTTGTTTCCTGACACTCCTCAATGAGCGATAGAGATTCTCAGCAGGTGGAACGTGTCACATCTGCAAACCCATTGAGCTGTAAATTAATAACGTCGGGAGGAAACCTACATGGTGGTTACGCACAACATGCATAAATATGTTTCTGTGTTTGGTCCTGATTTGCTGCAGAGTTCATTTAACACTAATAGAATACAGATTACAAAACAGATTGGTCTATTTATCAGCGAGAATATTCAATAAATAGTCATTTTTGCTTCGATTTGGCCAAAGTGATTTTCACGTATCCTTCATTTATGGGACAGTTTTACTCACTTCATAAGTATCATGTTTGAAGAGTTCTGTTATGAAGCTGTCATGTTAGAAATAAGCAGCGACTTTGAGACTACCTTAAAATAAATATACTAACTTACATGAGCAATGTTTTTCTCTGTCAGAATTCCTCTCTTGCATCATTTGCAGTAAAAGTGTTGCTTCTTTCTGTAATAAATTTTGACAGCCTGATCGTCTTAGCTGAAGTAGGCGGCCCGCCATCGATGCATCCAGCGTCTCTTTTTATGGAAGTGTGCACAGGTTAAGGTTAAGTTTAGCCGGCTAACATAGAGAAAGCCTGGCTATGTTAATCTAGTAATCGTCGTAGTGCACCCGTCTGAGCTGCATTTAAACAGTGATTGCTGGGCTGTAACACAGACTACATACATTCAGTAGTCGGTGACTTTGAGGACTTGAGATTAAGTGATTTCAAACACAAGTATAAAAAGCTGTAAACTCCATCTGCAAATATGAAACCTCCACCCAAGCCCTTGGTACTTGTAAAGACAGAAGACGTCATCCAGCTCGTTGAGACGCCGCTCTCCTCCCAGAACATTCAGTGTAACACATCTGGAATTTAGTATCTGAGAGTCGAAAACAAGAAGAGGCAGAAGGAGAAGCTTGGTTTCTGTGGGAGATGATCAGGGGACCAGTTTTACTTCTTAAGTCACGATGACGTTTTCATAATAATCTCATGACTTCTCTGGCGATTGCCCCTCTGCAGAGCTTCAGCCTCCGTCTCTGGTGGAGTCCAGCTCTTTGAGCAGGCAGGAGCATCACCGCGGGGGTGTAGGGTAACACACAGGCTGCCTGAAGTGCGCCGAGGGGTGGAGGGGTGGGGCAGGCCACGCTGCCGGCGGCGGCGTTGACATTTAGCAGCCAGGGAGCAGCTGCTAGCAAACCCCAGACGGACCAGGCGTAAACAGAGAGGGAGGCTTTCCAGGACTGGATGTTCCTCCCCACTTCTGACCAACATGAGACCCTCTGCAGGACAATTGTTCTTTAAAACAACCACTTCAACACTGTGATCCACCCTGTAGGTCCAAAAGCAAGCGCTGCTGCAGGGATGGAGCAATGGAAAACTGTGTGTGCCAAGGGAGATGTATTTTAAGCTCATTTATATCGACACCTTTTTCATTTGCATTCCTACTAAAGATTTAAAGAGTCACCGGTGTATGATGGCCGTCCTGTTGAACCTGTGATAGAGACTCATTCATGAGCCGTGACCTTGCCTCACTATTGCACAACGTCATCATCTCTAAAGTCATGCGAGGTTGCTCAGCTCATCTGCTGATGTAATTTCTTTCCAAACAGGAAAACACGAAGAGAAACAAGAAGAAGGAGGCATAGTGACAAAGAATTTCACAAAGAAGATCCAGTGAGTATAACCCCAGTGATCTCTCTGTATGTTTGTTTGTTTGTTTCTGGGTTTATGCACATTCTCACCATAGTCACCACCACATGCTACACAGCTAATAATTTGCAATCATTTAGAGTGGATTTTTTAAAAAACACGGAATAATAGTGTCATTTAGTGGAGAGCTGTTTGGTGAACCACTGAGCTGTTATGACTCTGGAGTGGCTTTCTTTAACAGGAACCAGGCTTTAGTTTTCTGCGTTGTTGAATTATACAGAGCATTTTACTGTGTACCACAGCTTTGAAATTATACGTTTATTATCGTGTCCACAGTGGAGACGGGGGGACCAGAGGAAGAGAGCAGAAAATAACCAAACTAAAATTATTATTATTTGTTTTTCAGACTTTTGGCTGATTGTATATTTAATAGTTTTTCAATTCTCTGTCTTCGTCTGAACCATTCATAGGCAGGTAGGATAGTTTTATATGAACCCTCTGAACCCTAAGCAGTTTTGGGGAATTTTTTTTTGCACATTTTTACTCAGTGTGTGCTCATTTTTAATTTTTTTTTTACTGTAATATGGCTTTCGCAGTGCGTTTCTATGTTTTTATGTCTTCATTATTATGGATCAGGAGTAAACTTGCTGTGATTAATGTAGTATGACTAATGCACAAAGATGACTCATCACTATTTTCACTTTAATAAAGATAATGATGTGCTGTTTTTGCCATCACCACCGAAGCGTGGTGTTGGAACATCATAAACTTTGCTTACTTTAACTCAAAGAGCAGAAAAACACAACAAACTTTCCTGGTGCTGAGAACAAACTAAACCCTCCGGGGTGCTAAGAGTAGCATCGGATTTCCTGTTTTCATTATTAATATCCTGATCATTAGGAATAATGGTGAATGAAAGCTTAATTAAGTGCTGTATCCAGAGATGTTCCGGTCAGGTTTTTTTTGCTCCCGACCCAATTCAAATCATTTAATATTTAGTATCTGCTGATCACAACGTTTTCCCAGATAACACAGAAGTGTTGTAGATTAGCTGCAGTACCTGGTTGGGCCTCCAGGTGGAGCCTCTTACTGTTTAA